GCCCAGAAGAATGAGCGCGAGTCGATCCGGCAGAAACTGGCGCTCGGCAGTTTCTTTGACGATGGGCCGGGCATCTACACCAGCTGCAGCAAGAGCGGCAAACCCAGCCTGTCCTCACGGTCAGTGTGTGTGTGTGTGTGTGTGTGTGAGATCTGCAGGCAACGGGCCTTTTCTACAACTTTCCCTGGCCGCAGTATGAGAGTCGTGTCGCGGCGTCACGTTTCTGTGTTCACACACTCTCTCTATGAACATGAAGGGTTTCCCCCTCAGCGGCTCATCCCGACACACACACACACTTCCCAATAGGGAAGCAGCACACACACTTCAAACTTTAGCCTCAATCACTGCAGTCACTTTCTGTTTCGATGATGAGCACTTCTGGTCATTGTTTTGTCATGTTGACAGATTGTCATAATGCTGCAGTTATTACAGTAAGCCATTAACACTGTGACCCAGTTTACCCTCCACTGGATTCAGGCCAGATTTAACCTTACTTTCTGTTGAGCAATACATAAATCCCATGTTTTTTTTACGGCGAGACACCAAACCATTGTTTTTCAGGCGCTGGACAAGTTCTGGTTTTTGTCATCTTTCAGAGCAGTGGAAAGCAAACATCCAAAACACACTTTTTAATGTTTATTTTATTGCACTTAACTATTTACATCTGTAGATCTCAATTACAATATCTTTAAAAGTTCTGAGGCGGAAACACTTACACACACCAAACTGTACAGTTTTATTCCTCTCTATATTCTGACGGTCTCCTCATACCATTCGTCTGGTTTATAGAACATTTCACAAAAACATCCCCGAAAATGTAGTTTTTTCCCCCGTTGTTGACACTGTTTTCTGATGTATGGAGTAATAAAAAGAGAAATGAAAAATCCCCTCAGTAAAAACCTTTAGTATGTAAACAAAATCAATGGAGAATTTACGGAAGCTTGTTTCCACCACAGAATAAAACATTTTAAAAAATAATTGCGACGTTTTATCAGGCAATTGTGAGTTTATAACATGCAATTCTCACTTTATTACACACAATTGCGACTTTATATTGTGCAATTATGAGATAAAAAGAGATGTAAACTCTCAATTGTGAGAGAAAAAGTCACAATTACCTTTTTTATTATTTAGTCTGTGGCGGAAACAAGCTTCCATAAGAAGTTGACCCATTATGCATATTTAAACATACCATTTCTGAACCTTGTAATGCAAAACGCCTGTCTTCATGTACTGTGATAAATACGCCGGAGACAGAGTTGTGGCGTGTACTAGTCATTAATCTGAGCCCTTTCTGCTGTGTTGTCTTAATCTCATACGATAAATGAACCATAATCATAATTTTTTACAGCCATTTAGGCTAAATCTGCGATCATCTTTAATAAATTCATTCCATTTTAATGCTGTTCTTCTTATTTGATGTTTTTTGCTAAATGCTAAAAGTGTTGAAACTGCAGCTCTCCTGATGAGTGTTTCCTGATGCTTCATCTCTCTCTGCCTGAACCCTCTCGCTGCTCAATGCTGTTTCTGTGGCTTCTCCTGCATTACTGATTAGTCTTCAGAAAGACGGAGCACATGATGGGAAACTCACAGCAGAAACTGGAAACACAGCTTTCCTGCCACTATTACATTTAAGAGCTATTTCTGAAGGGTTTAACCCATACAAATGAGCTTGGTTGGTGTAAACCGACATATATACTGATGTTTAATGATATTTTTGACTTGAATAAAACCAGTTAGCATGTTTAGGTTACTACACACACACACACACTGACAGACGTAAGTGTGTTCGCAGGCTCCAGAGTGGCATGAACCTGCAGATCTGCTTCGTCAACGACAGCGGCAGCGACAAGGACAGCGACGCCGATGACAGCAAGACGGAGACCAGCCTGGACACGCCGCTGTCGCCCATGGTACACACACACACACACACACGTTTACTCTCGCCGCCTGTGTGTCACAGAGGTCACACAAACAAGTTTTGGAAACAGCCCCATCCAGAATGCCCCTGAATCTGGGATGTGGTTGAGAGCCATGGCTTCCCAGCAGCGACGGTTACAGTAACGCTACGCATGAGTCAGAGAGGGTCAGCGGCCAGAGAAATGACCCCGCCGACACACACACACACACACACACACACACTGACCCTGACAACCATCATCATCACATCAGCCTGAATCATTACAGCACACACCACATGTGTAGATCCCCCCTTGACACTCACAAACACACACACACACACACACACACACACAGCTGTGTTTTTGTGATATATGAGGACATTCCATAGGCGTAATGGCTTTTATACTGGACAAACTGTATATTCTATCCCCCTACACTGCCCCTATCCCTAAACCTGCCCATCACACACACACACACACACACACACACTGCCCCTATCCCTAAACCTGCCCATCACACACACACACACACACACTGCCCCTATCCCTAAACCTACCCATCACAGGAGACATGCTGCATTTTTACATTAAAAAAAACATAGTTTTTTATGTTTTTTAAGCTATTTGAAATATGAGGACAATGTCCTCATATATCACGTGTAAGTTGTAATACCAGTGTAATATGCATGTCATTATACACATTTGTGTCCTCATATATCACAAAAACAAAAGCACGATATGTGTGGATCCCCCCTGGACACACACACTCACACTCACAAACATACACACACACACCACATGTGTAGATCCCCCCTGGACACACACACTCACACTCACAAACATACACACACACACCACATGTGTAGATCCCCCCTGGACACACACACTCACACTCACAAACATACACACACACACCACATGTGTAGATCCCCCCTGGACACACACTCACACTCACAAACATACACACACACACCACATGTGTAGATCCCCCCTGGACACACACTCACACTCACAAACATACACACACACACCGCATGTGTAGATCCCCCCTGGACACACACACTCACACTCACACTCACAAACATACACACACACACACACACACACACACACACACACACCGCATGTGTAGATCCCCCCTGGACACACACACACACACACACACACCGCATGTGTAGATCCCCCCTGGACACACACACACACACACACACACACACCGCATGTGTAGATCCCCCCTGGACACACACACTCACACTCACAAACATACACACACACCGCATGTGTAGATCCCCCCTGGAAACACACACACACACACACACATACATATGTTCATATTTCAACACAACTTTATTTTGTTATGCTGTTAATATACTTTTACATTCGGAAGCAGCGCACAGTTAAATCCCTCTTGTCTGCATGTGCTGCGGTCGAAGTGTCTGGTCTCCGTCTTCTGTCCTCAGAGCAAGCAGAGCTCGTCCTACTCGGACAGAGACGCCACGGAGGACGACTGCGAGTCTCTGGAGGACATGGACTTCCTGAGCCGGCAGAAGAAGCTGCAGGCCGAGGCCAAGCTGGCGCTCGCGATGGCCAAACCCATGGCCAAGATGCAGGTGCAGGTGGAGAAGCAGAACCGCAAGAAGTCCCCGGTGGCAGACCTGGTACGTGCTCTCGGGTCACACACACGAGACTCGTGCGGTGTGCAGACAGGAACTCCAGCGGTGTGTGTGTGAGTGTGTGTGTGTGTGTGTGAGTGTGAGGGCTGGAAAACAGAAAGTCTCAATGATTATGAAAGACTTCGGCCTGTCATTTCTGCACACTTTCTCAGTCAGCACAACAGTTATGTATCCTTGTGGAAAACAAGTGTGCTTCGGTGCAGTGAACGTGCACACTGAGTGTACTTCAAATCTTAGGAAGTATATTTTATAGGTATAATAAGATTTATAGGTATATTTTTTAAATGTACCTGCAGATAATATAGTATTAATGAAATAAAGGTCACGTGTTCAGGGCTGTTCTTCAGGATACCCCCTCTCTTTAGTACACTTAAAGTCGTTTTGATAATCTTGTGTTGTGCTTTAAAGGAGTGCACTTAAATTGATCCTGACTAACTTACTGAAGCACTTCATTATAATTGAACTGTAGTAATTAATGTGCTAAATTTCATCATTACATATGTGCAATTACAAATATTTAATTGTATGATATCAGTAGAAATGACATTGAAGTATATTTGAGTTTGCCTGTCAGTACATTCATCGGTACACTTTAACCATATTTGAAAGACAATAGAAGTAACATTGAAATGAAGTCCTACTTCAGTTGATTAAAAAAGCCTTTCAAAGGTCAGACGTAGATTAAGTATGCTAAAGTGTTCTTCTCTTTCACATGGGAAACCATAAAGCCCCACATTATTTCAATCTTGACACAGTGAGTGTGAAATTCATGTCATTTTAATCAATTCTGCTAGTATGACGCTAGTCATTATTGTAAGTATGTACGATATAGAGTGCAGTATATTAATAACTCGTGGCAGTTCCCTGTCATGGACCTGTGCGGTCACATTGACATGTTTGATGGTTGGCTGGGTAGTCCGTGGGATCATGACACGCTTTAGCTGGTCTGCTTTAAATCAGCAATGGTGATCAGACACTACAGTGACGTCACTGTCCGAGAACACACCAGAGACTGGCTCTGCCGTCTGTCACCTCTGAGCTGAAACTATGACACACACACACACACACACGAGCAGGAAGCAGCTGGAACACACTTCCTCTCGAGCGCTCGAGCGTCTTCAGTCGAGGGTTTCTCCTCTGCCGCCCACAGTGAAACCGCACGAGTTCACACACACACACTCGCACTGAGTCCTCTGTGCTGTGCTCCTCCACTGTAAGAACAAAACTGACCTCTGGCTGTGTGAATTCCTTGGAAACACTCTTAAGATGGGGCTTGTGATGCTGTTTCTCCTCAGCGGTCTGTCAGAGGGGCAGCCCATGATTAGATCATCTCAAACGCATCACTGACCACACTTCAGCCTTCATCGTGTCACCGCATGCAGTCTTGCATCAGACACCTTATACAGCGGACCCGGTGGCCGGTAACAGGTGTGTGTCACGGGACCGACCCGTCCGGATCCTCCACATGCTGCTCCTCAGTAGTGATGGGCGGATCGATCCTGAAGTATCGATACTGACGTGGTATCGAAAAGGATCGATCCTCACATAAAAATATCGATCCAAATGTGTATTTTTTTTACCAGTCATTTTTTATTAATTTAGCACGCAATTCAGTGCGTAAAATAAGCTTCTAAGTGGAAAAATAAGCGAATGTTAGTGGGTAATTGTGTAGGATAGAACCTTTTCTCCTAGGCATCTGTATCAGTGTTGCCAACTTAGCGCCTTTCTCGCTATTTTTAGCGACTTTTCAGACCCCTTTAGCGACATTTTTTCCAAAAAGCGACTAGCGACAAATTTAGCGACTTTTTGGACAAACCTCATTAACCTCCAAATATTGCTAGTACTGTCCTGCGAGCGCGAGGTCTTCTTTCTCCCTGTCGTCACTCTCTCTCGCTGCGTCTCCCCTGTACAGGGACTGGCTGAGAGGAGCGCACGGCCGCTGACAGACGCCAATGAGCAGTGTTTTTCCATGGACTTATCTGCTTTTCTTTTGTTTTATATTTAAAGAATTTAGTTTGACCATTTTAATTTCTTTTCTTTTCTCGTGCTTATTACTTAATACTCACTATCACATAGCTTTAGTTCATCCAGTTCCCTTACTCTCTCAATTCAGATAATTTTCCACATAAAAAATGTAGTCATTCACTATATCATAGCTACTCGTTCTATTGTCTGACAAAAAAAACAGGAAATGAGAATGCTTTATTTGAAGTTCGGCTATATTATATTATATTAAATGAAGCATTAATTTAGAGAGAAAGCACATTAGGAAGACAGAACGCAAATACGACGCGGTGACGTCATGAATATGCTAATTGACGTATGACGTCATCTAGCGACATTTAGCGACTTTTAGGGAAGGCGTTAGCTACTTTCCTTTGAAAATAGTTGGCAACACTGATCTGTATACAAGACGAAACCAGTCAATCACAGAGAGCGTTCGCTGCTGGTGCTTCGCTGAGCTCACAGGCCCAGTGCGTTTGGGAAACGAAGCCTTGCTTAGATGACAGAGAAACAATCGGGAGTTATTTCGCAATAAACAAACCAAAACTGTACATAACGGTTTAAAATGTTGACATCAGTAAGATCTTTTTTATGAAATTAATATTTTTATTCAACAAGGATCGATGCATTATATTGATCAAAAGTGACAGTCAAGGGTTTTACACTGTAAAAAAAAATCTACTTCATATAAATGTTGTTCTTTCAACTTTGTTCATCAAATAATTCTGCATAAAATGTATCATGGTTTCCAACAAAATATGAAACTGTTTTCAACATTGATAATAATAAGAAATGTTTCCTGAGCAGCAAATCAGCATATTAAAATGAATTATCATCATGACTGGAGTAATGATGCCGAAAATTCAGCTTTGATCACATAAATAAATTACAGTTTACTATGGCATAGAAAACAGATAGCCTATGTTAAATTGTTAAATTGTAATATTACAGTTTTTACTAAGAGAAATAAAAATCTTACAGACCCCAAACTTTTGAACAGTAGGGTAGTACTAGTACTAGGGTAGTTTTGTAAAAGTCACTGACTAATTAAAGGGGAGTTGAGAGCACAAATCACAAAATATTTAGGCCTAGTAGTCATGAAAAAGTGTTCAGATTTAGCATATTAATGATGCATTCACCTCAGAAATCATGACACACAGGAAAGTGCATACAAGTTCAAATGCATGCTTTCAAAATGAAAAAGTATCGGTATCGATATCGGCGATACTGGCCCTGTGTTTACTTGGTATCGGATCGATACAGAAATTTGCAGTATCGCCCATCACTACTCCTCAGCCTTCCAGTGGTTATAGATGAGAATGGACCTCATAGATTGACGGCTTCTCATGCTGACTTCTGGCATGTTGTAAACTATAACAGCAGACGCTTCATATGGAAGCTTGTTTCCGCCACAGAATAAAAAAACAAAAAAGGCAATTGCAACTTTTTGTCTCACAAATTTATATTACAATTGTGTAATATAAAGTCGCAATTTTGTGTTATAATGTCATAATTGCATTATATAAAGTTGCAATTGCGAGTTATAAAGTCAGAATTGCAAGATATAAAGTCGCAATTATCTTTAGTAAGGGATCCTTAAAATAAGGGATAATGTACATCCAGCCGGTTGTTATCTCAGAATAAACCCTGACAGGGTGATCAGGATCAGGTCTACATCAGCCTGAAGGGGTTTATTCTGAGATAACACACACACACACACCTGAAGGGGTTTATTCTGAGATAACACACACAGACCTGAAGGGGTTTATTCTGAGATAACACACACACACCTGAAGGGGTTTATTCTGAGATAACACACACACACCTGAAGGGGTTTATTCTGAGATAACACACACAGACCTGAAGGGGTTTATTCTGAGATAACACACACACACCTGAAGGGGTTTATTCTGAGATAACACACACACACACACCTGAAGGGGTTTATTCTGAGATAACACACACACACCTGAAGGGGTTTATTCTGAGATAACACACACACACACACACACCTGAAGGGGGTTTATTCTGAGATAACACACACACACCTGAAGGGGTTTATTCTGAGATAACACACACACACCTGAAGGGGGTTTATTCTGAGATAACACACACACACACACACACACACCTGAAGGGGGTTTATTCTGAGATAACACACACACACACACACCTGAAGGGGTTTATTCTGAGATAACACACACACACCTGAAGGGGTTTATTCTGAGATAACACACACACACACACACACACACACACACACCTGAAGGGGGTTTATTCTGAGATAACACACACACACACCTGAAGGGGTTTATTCTGAGATAACACACACACACCTGAAGGGGTTTATTCTGAGATAACACACACACACACACACACACCTGAAGGGTTTATTCTGAGATAACACACACACACACACACACCTGAAGGGGTTTATTCTGAGATAACACACACAGACCTGAAGGGGTTTATTCTGAGATAACACACACACACACACCTGAAGGGGTTTATTCTGAGATAACACACACACACCTGAAGGGGTTTATTCTGAGATAACACACACACACCTGAAGGGGTTTATTCTGAGATAACACACACACACCTGAAGGGGTTTATTCTGAGATAACACACACACACCTGAAGGGGTTTATTCTGAGATAACACACACACACCTGAAGGGGGTTTATTCTGAGATAACACACACACACCTGAAGGGGTTTATTCTGAGATAACACACACACACCTGAAGGGGGTTTATTCTGAGATAACACACACACACACACACACCTGAAGGGGGTTTATTCTGAGATAACACACACACACACACACACCTGAAGGGGTTTATTCTGAGATAACACACACACACACACCTGAAGGGGGTTTATTCTGAGATAACACACACACACACCTGAAGGGGTTTATTCTGAGATAACACACACACACACACACCTGAAGGGGTTTATTCTGAGATAACACACACA